CGAAAAGAGTAAGACTATATTATCTTACTTTGGTGATAAAGAAGATCAAAATATACAACCAGAAGACAACAAAAGTCAAAGCTACTACACCCAAAGCCTCCAAGAAAAATATGAATCAGTCCCAGGCTTTGGAAGATCTCAAAAGGGATTTTGAGAAGCAAGTAAGAGAAGTAGAGGAAAAACTGGGAAGAGAAATGAGAGTGATGCAAGAAAATCATGAAAAAACAAGTCAACAGCTTACTAAAGGAGACCCAAAAAAATACTGAAGAAAATAACACCTTAAAAAATAGTCTAAACCAAATGGCAAAAGAAGTCCAAAAAGCCAATGAGGAGAAGAATGCCCTAACAAGCAAAATTGGTCAAATGGAAAAGGAAGTCTGAAAGATTATTGAAGAAAATACTTCCTTAAAAATTAGAATAGAGCAATTGGAAGCTAGTGACTTTATGAGAAATCAAGACACTGTAAAAGAAATCCAAAAGAATGAAAAAATAGAAAGCAATGTGAAATGTCTCATTGGAAAAACAACTGACCTGGAAAATAGATCCAGGAGAGATACTTTAAAAATTATTGGACTATCTGAAAGCCATGATCAAAAAAGGAGCCTAGACATCATCTTTCAAGAAATTATCAAGGAAAACTGCCCTGATATTTTAGAACCAGAGGGCAGAATAGAAATTGAAAGAATCCACCAATCTCCTCTTGAAAGACATCCCCAAAGGACAACTCCTAGGAATATTATATAACCAAATTCCAGAGTTCCCAGGTCAAGGAGAAAATATTACAGGCTGCCAGAAAGAAACAATTCAAGTACTGTGGAAACACAGTCAGTATAACACAAGATTTAGCAGCTTCTACATTAAAGGACTGCAGGGCATGGAATATAATATTTCAGAGGGCAAAGGAGAAAGGGTTACAATCACCTACCCAGCAAAACTGAATATAATCCTTCAGGTGAAAGAATGGTCATTCAGTGAAATAGAGGACTTTCAAGAATTCTTGATGAAAAGACCAGAGCTGAATAGAAAATTTAACTTTCAAATACAAGACTCAAGTGGAACATGAAGAGGTAAACAGGAAAGAGAAATCATAAGAGACTTATTAAGATTGAACTGTTTACATTCCTGCATGGAAAGATGATATTTATAACTCATAAGACCTTTGTCAGTATTAGGGTAGTTGGAGGGAAAAAATTATGTATAGATAGATAGATAGATAGAGGGCACAGGGTGAGTTGAAGATTAAGGGGTCATATCTGGAGAATAAAATTAAGGGATGAGAGAGGATTACACTAGGAGAAGAAGAAAGGGAGAGGTAGAATGGGGTAAATTATCTCACAAAAAGAAAAGAAAAGGCTCTTACAGTGGAGGGGAAATGGGGAAGGTGAGAGGGAATGAGTGAATCTTATTCTCATAGGATTTGGCTTAAGAGGAATAACATACACATTCAATTGGGTATGGAAATCTGTCTTACCCTACAGGAAAATAGGGGAGAAGGGGACAAGAGAGCAGGGGGATGATAGAGGGAGGGCAGATTGGGAAAGGGGTAATCAGAAGCAAATACTTCTGAGGAGGGACAGGGTCAAAAGAAAGAATAGAATAAATGGGAGGGCAGGATAGGATTAAGGGAAATAGAGTTAGTTTTTCACAACATGTCTACTATGGAAGTGTTTTGCATAACTGCACATGTATAACCTATATTGAGTTGCTTGCCTTTTCAATGAGGGTGGGTGGTGAGGGAGGAAGGGAGAAAATTTGGAACCCAAAGTTTTAAAAACATATGTTTAAAAAAAAATGCTTTCACATGCAACTGGGAAATAAGAATTACAGGAAATGGATAACAGAAGTCTATCCTGCCCTACAGGAAAATAGAAGGGGAAGGGGATGAGAGAAGGGGGGGAGAGATAGAAGAGAGGGCAGACTAGGGGAAGGGATATTCAGAATGCATGCCATCTTGGGGTGGGGGGAGGGGCCAGATGGGTGAAAATTTGGAACTCAAAATCTCTTGGAAGTAAATATTAAAAACTAAAATAAATTTATATTAAAAAAAGAAAAAGAAAAGTAAAGGCTCAGAGATGGTTAGGAGCTACTTCTTGGAGTGGATTGTTTAAGACTTTTTTTTCACTTTTATTTTAAATTGATCTTTTCCCTATATATCCTAAATTTCCTCCTGTAGTCCTTCTTTTACCCTTCCCATACAGCCATCTCATATAATAAAGAATTTTTTTTAAAAAGAGGAAATGGAAACCTCCCTACCCCAGCAAAACCAAGCAATACATAGAAAAAAATTTGACAATATGCAGTATACCATACCTGTGAACCACCTGCACCCCACCCCAACCTCAGCAAAATGTGGAAGGGGTGTCTTCTCTCCTTTGGGACCAAACTTGAGCTTTGTAATTTTGTAGCATTAACCTGGGAGATCTATTTCTACTAACGATTTGGATAAAGGTATCCCTATCAAATTGGCAGATGACACAAAAGAAGGATGGATGGCTAAAGTGGCTAAATCTAATAAGATGTAATTCAGTAGGGTTAAATAGAAAGTCTTAACCTTGAGTTATACAAGATGGGAGAAGCCTTGCTAGAGAGCCATTCAGTGGCGTTTTTTAGTGGATTTAGTGAGTCAACAATGGGACATGGCAGCCAAAAAAAGCTAATAGTCGTAGACTGCGCTGAGAGGAAAAAAAGTCAAGCATCAGGTCACCTGAACATGTGGTTACACATCCTGTCTATTATGTTCAGCTCTGGGTATTGGTAATCTGGAGAACATCTAAAGGAAAGCATCCAGGATGGTGAAAGGGCTTGAGATCGTACTACAAGGGAAATGATGAAAGGAACTGCCGTCTGCTCATTTCACCTTTACAGCATCTCTAGAATTCACCTCCTTTTTTCTCTCTGAGACCACCAACACTGTGGTGCAGGCCCCTATGTCCTCATGCCTAGACTACTGCAATAGCCTGCTGATGAGTCTGCCTGCTCCAAGGTTTTCCCTACTCCAATCCATCTGCCATCCATCCACTACAGGTCCAAACATGTCAGTCCTCTACTGAGTAAACTCCAGTGACTCCTGTTGCCTCTAGGATTAAATACAAAATCCATTGCTTGGTATTCAAAGCCCTTCATAACCTAACCCCACCCTATATTTTAGTCTTCTTACTCCCTTGCCACTTATTCTTCAATCCAGTGACTTTGGACTGGATGTTCCAAGAACAAGATGCTACGTATTTTGGCCCAGGGCATTCTTGCTGACTGTCCCCAGTGGAAGCATTTTCCCTCTTCATCTCTACCTTTTGGCTTCCATGGCTTCCTTCAAGTTTCAACTAAAATCCCATTTTCTACAGGAAGCCTGCTCTAATGCCTCTTAATTCCAGTGCCTTCCTTCTGTTAATTATTTCCTACTTATCCTGTATCTAGTTTGCTTTGTATCCATTTGTTTGCATGTTGTCTGTCCCATTTGAATATAAGTTCCTTGAGGGCAGGGATTGTCTTTTGCCTCTTTTTTTGTATCACCAGGGTTTAGCACAATGCCTGGCACCTAGTAGGCACTTAATAATGTTTATTGATTGATAATTGACTTAGAGAGAAGAGAAGATTTAGTGGGGTGCATGATAATTGTCTTCAAGTATTGTAAGAGTTATATTGGAAGAAGGAATAGATTTGTTCTATGTGGCCCTAGTAGGCAGAATGATGAACAATGGTTGGAGTAATTTTAGACATGATATAAGGGAAAGCTTTTAAATAGTAAGCTAGGAATTGGTTCATTTTTGCCCTTGAATCCCTAGAGCCTAGCATAGTGTATTGCACATAACAGAAACTTAAATTCTTGCATTGAATTAGATTTGTCCAAAAATAGAATGGGCTTCCACAGGAGACAGTGGGTTCTTTAATTTTCTTTTCCTTTTCCTTGCTGGAATTGCAGTGGCTATTCATGGCCCTATCCCACTAATAATTAGCGTAAGAGCTTTGATCTGCTCAAGGTCCTTTTTTTTTTTTGTGAGGCAGTTGGGGTTAAGTGACTTGCCCAGAATCACACAGCTAGTAAGTGTCAAGTGTTTGGTTTGAGGCCAGATTTGAACTCAGGTCCTCCTGACTCCAAGGCAGGTGCTCTATCCACTGTGCCACCTAGCTGCCCTGATCTGCTCAAGTTCTAACCTTGACCAGTTTGTCCTTTTTAGGCAACCTGGTAGCCCTAGGGTCCACCATATTGATTCTGGACTTAGTGCAAATACCTGATTGGTATAGATCAGTACAGCTCAGAAACTCCCAAACTCAAAAGATTCCCCCCATCTCAGCCTCCTTGGTAGCAGGAATTCTAGGCATGGGACACCACACACACAGCCTCTCTTGGGGGCTTTTAAGCAAAAGCTGGGTGACCATGTATTAGGTGTAATATGGAAGAGCTTCTTATTCCACTATACCCTGGACTAGGGTGTCCATTAAGGGCCCTTCCAATTCTAAGGTTCTGTGAGGCTGAGAATGAGTTAGATCTTCTCTGAGTCACAATTTGAGAGGGAATTCTTGAGCCTTGCTGCTGCTTCTTTCAGCTTTTGGTATCATATAGGTTAGGTTATCTTTCATGTGTATGTTTATGAAAAAACCCATACAGAATAATAATAGTTAACATTTATATAGCACTTACTTTGTGTCAGGCACTGTACTAGGCAACTTACAATTATCTCATTTGATATTCACAACAATCCTGGGAGGTAAGTTCTATGATTGCCCCCATCTTACAGCTGAGGCAAATAGAGGTTAATTGATTTGCCTAGGGTCATACAACTAGGAAGTGTCTGAAGGCAGATTTGAACTCAGGTCTTCTCAACTCCAGGCTTTGCCTTCTCTCTACTGTGCCACCGTGGAAGTAATTGAATTTGAAGGAATGATTATAACACCCTGAAAATATGGTGTGAACAAATAACATATGCAATGCCATACCCATGGAAGATTTTCTGAATATATTAACTGGTGTTTGTTTCTTTTCTCTTTCTTTAAATCTGTAGATGAACCATATAAAAGAAAGATTTGCAGAAGAATCAAATAAAGAAGTAGTCCTTATGTGCATTGGGATCACTTCAGGAGTCGGAAGACTGCTCTTTGGCAGAATTGCAGACTTTGTGCCTGGTGTTAAAAAAGTTTACTTGCAGGTATCTTATTTTTCTGTTATTCATAATAGCAAAATTGTCCTTTTTGGCTTAATATTTAGTGAAATGCAATTTTGTCTTTACATCACAATTAAAATATTATTTTGCAGAACTTAAGGTTCTGTAAAAATTGGAGATATCTTATAGAAATGTAGTGGGTTTTTTTTAAACGTATGGTTTTTTCCCCCACAGGCAAATTAGCTTAGAAGTTAGAGATCAAACAACAGTTCCTTTTCTCCAAGCTAAGAACATTTCAGACACAAAATGCTTTCTTTGCTTGATGATTTTTCAAGGAAGGGTAGTTTATTTGGCCTAATTCTTGTTATCATGTGTGGATCCTGTGCTTTTTGCCTTGTGAGATTTCCATGTGGTCTTGTGAGCTGCCTTCAGTCAGTTGAGAACTCCTAGGAAGTAAATGGCCAGTTCTTGGCTCACTACTGATGTCTATTCCGTGGAAATTCACCTGAGTTAATTCAGCTTGGTAAATATTCCCTTGAAAGCACAGGGCCTTGCACATAGTATTTACTTAGGACATGTTTGTTTAGCTGGATTTCAATTTGATTCTTGAATCACAAAAGTCCCTGTTACCCTACTATGAAGCAGCTTTACAGAGCCAGAAAGGCTGGGCTTGAGTCCCAGCACCCCCTTCCCTGCGCTTATTACTTGTGTAATAATGGACAAGTTACTTAGGCTTCATGGTTCTCAGTTTTCCTTGATGTCTGACCTTTATAATAGCTAATAAAAACATTTATATAAAAGTTTAAGGTTTTTGCTAAGTGTTTTCCATATGCAATCTCATTTGATCCTCATAACAACTCTTGGAGGTTACATATGATGAAACTGAGACTAAAAGAGATTGGATTTATCCTGGTGTCTGAGGCAGGATTTGAATTCAGGTTTTCCCTGACTTTCTGACTTTATTGTAATATGAAGTTCAAAAGATACAGTACTCATTTGTAAACTTTAGAGGGCTATTATTATTCATTTGAAATAAATATTTTCTCCACAAACTTTTGCTGTTTGTTAGGAGCAGATTTTCATCTCTTAGCACCTACACATACATATATTTTAGCCACTTAACCAAAGATGACAGACAGAAAGCTCTGAAACCAGTCACATCTCTGAATACCAAGGGAGACCTCTCATGGCCATTTGTAGTAGTGCATGCATTCTGTACTTGTGGATGGTTACGTCTTTCTTTCCCAGTGAAAAAATTGTAGACATTCTGATGACTTAGAATGTCTTTTTAACTAACTTACAATATACTTTAGGTTTTTAAAAATTAAATTTTATTTCTTTCAGTTAACAAAACACTAGCTTTTTTACGATACATTTAACAGTGTTGATGATACATTATTTTAAAATTTTGTATTTTTTTTATCTTTTGTCTTTATATCACCTTAATTTCTGAACACATGTTTCACCTCTACCATCCCAAGGGAGCTATCCCTGGTAACAAAGAATAAAGAAAGGGTAAGGGGGAAGAGTGATTTGGCAAAACAAACAATACTGCACCTGTGTCTGATAGTATTTGCATTATTCCATAAACATAGTTCTCCGCCTTTGCAAAGAAGGGAGGGAAGTACATTTTCTCAGTTCCTCTGGAGCCAAGATTGCCCTTTGTAATTATGCTGCACTCAATTTGATTATTTTGATCTGTTTTAATTTCCTTCTCTTTAATCATATTTACTGTTAATGTATAGTAACAGTACATTACATTTATGTAGGCAAGGCACCAAGCAATAATGTACCACAGTTTGTTTAGCCATTCCTCTGTAGTGGGCATCTACTTTTCCTTCCAGTTCTTAGCTAGAAGAAAAGGGGCTGCCATAAATAGTTTAGGTATTTATATCAACATATGCAGGGCCTTTCTTCTGCCTTTGACCTCCATGTTGCTGAGCAGGATGATCCCTGGGTCATGAAGATCCTAGTGAATCTAGGGGCAGCTAGGTGACACAGCAGATAGAGGGCTAGAGCCAAGGAGACCTGAGTTCGGATCTGGCTTCAGATACTTACCAGTTCTGTGACCCTGGGCAAGGCAGTTTACTCTCCATTTACCTCAATTTCCACATCTGTAAAGTGGGAATAATAACAGCACCTACCTCTCAGGGTTGTTAGAGGAGCAAATGATATAATAATTGTAAAGTGCCTACCCTAGTGCCTGGCACATAGTACTTATATTATTACTATTGTTTTATTAGTTTCAAATATCTTCCTTAGAGCTTCCCACACTTGATCAGTATTTTGACAATGGTGGTAGTAAATAGAAAATTACTTGAGGGTTGGTTGTTTAATTTTGGCTAAAATTATTACCCACAGCCTTATCTAACTTCTTTCACCAATATCTAGTGAACTATCCATAAGATTTTTAATACTAGGTACTGAGCCAGGAACAGATTTCACATAAGCCAGTACATTTTTTTAAAAAGGCCACTTCAGCATGCCTACATTTAAAACAGATATGTCTATCTTACATTTACTGGTGGAAAAATTTATTTTGGTGAAAATAGTTGTAAAGCAAACCATTTCATAAAGTAGATATATTTGTCTTACAACCTTCAACATAGGGGGGACTTAAGTGGTGCAGTGGATAGACCACCGGCCCTGAAGTCAGGGGACCTGAGTTCAAATGCAGCCTCAGACCAAACACTTGACACTTACTAGCTGTGTGACCCTGGGGAAGTCACTTAACTCTGTTTTCCTCAGTTTCCTCATCTGTAAAATGAACTAGAGAAGGAAATGGCAAACCACTTCAGTACCCCTGCCAAGAAAACCCTAAAGTGGGGTCATGCAGTATCAAACATGACTAAATATGACTGGATGCAGTTTATTATGATTATCATTATGATAGGCTTGACATTCACAACGAATACCAGTAGAGGTTGTATGGCTCACAGGAAAAGTACTTGGTTTGAAGTCAGAGGACCTGAGCTAGACTCTCAGCTCTGCAATTTATACCTGTATGACTTTGGGTTTCTCTTTGGGCCTCACATTTCTCTTCTGACAATGACGGAATCAGACCAGATGGCCTCTGAGGTTTCTTCCACTTTAAATATGATCTTGTTAAAAGGGGAAAGGATGGAAGGGAATAAGCATTTATTTAGCACCGACTATATACATAGTTCTGCTATGTACTAAGCACTGTGCTAAGTGCTTTTCACAAATATTATATTATAAGCAAGTAATAAAATCAGATATAAGCTAAAATGTCCCCTAAAGGGCTTCAACACTTGTTGAGAGTGATGTAGAGAGAATTCTTGTTTATCTACAGGTTGGACTAGACTTGACCTCTGAGAACTCTTCCAATTCTAAGATTATTGAGGTTTTTTTGATTCTTTTGTGAAATCTTCAACCAAAACCCCAACATTGAAATTTTTATTAAGGAGACTCTTACACATATTGGTTGTGTAATCTTGCACAAGTCACTAATGAAATTTCAGATCTAGATCAGGAAAAAAGGGCAAAAAGAAACATTGATTTTAACAACATTGAAATCAAGCGAAAAATACTTTGCTTTGTGTTACTTTCCAAACTCATGTTTATGAACTTGTTTCATTCCTTTTGTCATTATTTCTATGTGTTTATACACATAGAACTATCAGTTTTTATGCTGTTTTTCTACTGGTCACATTTTATATAAATATATATTTGTCTTTCATATTCTTTCCCATATTTAATAATAATAATAATAATAATAATAGCTAATAGTTATATAGCACCTGCTATGTGCCAGATACTATGCTAAGCTATTTATAATTATTATCTCATTTGATCCTCACAGTACTCCTGGGAGATAGGTACTATCATTATATACATTTTACTGATGAGGAAATTGAGGCAGATAGAGGTTATATGACTTGTGCAGGGTCATAGAGCTAGTAAGTATCTGAGGCAAGATTTGAACTCAGCTCATCCTGACTCCAGGCTTGGAACTCTATCCATTGTGATATTCAACTGCCTGTATATATTAAATTATATTAATAATGTTAATTAATATTTAATTGTAGTCTTTTTTTGTTTTAAATCCATAGCACATTAGACTTAAACAGATTATATTCAATCTCCTCCACCACATAAGCTCTCTTTGGTTCATTTTTCTCATATCAAGAACTTTTGGGAACCCCCAGAATATAGCCCCAGTCTATGTCTTAAAAATGTAAAGGGGTCCACTTCTGTGTAAATATTCAAGATAACAATATCCAATCTGTTGCCAAGGCCTGTTTTACCCTTGCAACATCTCTTTGCATATATGCCCCCTTCTCTCCTGACACTGTTGTTGAGTCGTTTCAGTTGTGTCTGACTCTTGTGACCCCATTCAGGGTTTTCTTGACAAAGATACTGGAGTGGTTTGTCATGTCCTTCTCCACTCTCCTACACTGCCACCGCCCTACTGAAGGCTCTCATTACCTTATGCCTGGACTATTGCAATAGCCTGCCATGTGTCTCTCCCTGCTCCAGGTCATCTTCCACTCAGCTGTCAAAGTGATCTTCCTAAAGGGCTAGTCTGACCATAGCACCTCCTACTTAGTAAACTCCAGTGGCTCCCTAGAACCTCCACAATCAAACATACTATTCTCTGGCATTCCCCTTTCTAGTCTTCTTAAACCTTACTGGCCTCTTTGCTCTTCTTCACCCAAGAGAGTCCATCTGCTGATGGGCATTTTCAGTGGCTGTCCCCCATGCCTAGAAGGCTCTCTTTCCTCATCTTTGCCTCCTGGCTTCCCGCTCAAAGCCTACCTTTGAAAGGACGTCTTTCCTAATACCTCTTCATTCCAGTGTCTTGCATCTGTTGATTATTTCTAATTTATCCTGTATATAACTTATTTGTACATAGTTATTTGTATTTTGTCTTCCCCTTTAGATTGCGAAATCCTGGAGATTAGGGACTACCTTTAACCTTTCTTTGTATCCCTAGCACTTAACACAGTGCCTGTCCCATAGTAAGTGGGTTGTTTTGGGGAGAGGGGCTAGGTAATGGGGTTAAGTGACTTGCCCAGGGTCAC